CTGAACCGTTCAGCTGAACAGCTGCAAGATGGAAAGTCAGACGCATCTAGACGAAGATCGAACAGGGCACCATCGTGCCTTTCATCCCACGGCACCAGCCGTACTCCTATGCCGCGTTCTTCAGTGCTTCCCTCAGATGAACAAATTATACAGGGACCTAAAATAGAAATTGATGAGCAGAAATTCCACCAATATCTGCCTCATGCTAGCAGACATCATTTCCAAACACTGCGAGGATTGAACTATGACAAAGAAGACGACAAAAAAGACTGACTGATAGAGCACAGGACCGTCTCCTGTAGCGAGCCACATTCAAAGCCTGTTTATATGAAAAATGCAACAGCTCAGTGGTTGCATCTTAGATGTCGACCAGTTCAAAGGGAACAGATTTGTTTGTTCCAGAGCAGGTAAGACTTCAGCTTGGCTCCCACTCATAAAGATATTTTACAAGAGGCTCAAGGAATATGCTCTCAAAAGGGGTCTTGCCAAAATTAAATTGATAGTACAGGCTTTTATGCTACTATGTATTCATTCATTTTATTCAAAAGAAATCAGCAGGATAGTCTTGCTGCCACAGAGCAAGCATTAGTCACTGTGCAAGAAGACTCCTGCAGTGCAGAGGGTATTATAGGGTTTTTGGGTTTTTTGGTTTGTTGTTTTGTTTTTTAATTCCGGATTCTTACTAACAGACATATTAACTGTCAGGTAACCTGTCAAATGTAGCTATAAGCAGATTTGTGACACTACACATTGTCTCGTTTCCCCCATCTTCATATTTAAGCACCTTTGACTCAGCTATTTCAGATACTTCTTGCACGTTAATTCAAATCAAGAGGTCTTTCAGGATAGACACCATCTCACACCGGGTGCTTGTGCAGCACCCAACACAGGTAATGCTAATGCCAGCAAGTCAGATCAGAGCCGTTTGTGGACAGAGATCAAGGAGGAGAACATCAAAGAGTACTGCAGGCAGAATCAGATATCTTGTCAAAGCCGTACCGAGGAGTCTCCAATACCGAGAGGTTAGTCATCCATTAGTAAGTTCTTACTCCATAAACCACAAGGAGGAAAATTGCATCGATATGAATACAGAAGAAAGTAGGAACTAGCTTTTATATAGGCTAGAATGAGAATTTTGAGAGATCAGAGAGATTCAAGGACAGCTACATATGCGATGAGGCTGGAAGGGAGGCGAGATCCGACTCCAGGTGGCTGGAAAGCAATGGCACAGCAGTCACCACCACGCTTTGTTCCAACAGGATCCCCTGCCAGCCATCACAGGGATGCAGATTTAGTGTGGCTCATTTTCAAACGATGGAAACACCTCTACAACAGGGTTAACGCACACTGCGAGGACGGAGCAGGTACAAGCCTGCTCCCAAACGACACAGATTCTGCTGATTAAATACAAGCATCAAATTCCATTATCTCAGTTCACCTGAAGCACAAGGAATCTCAACCACAGCACCAGCTGGTAGAACAACAGATCTCAACCACATTCCCCAAGTGCCACAGTCCACTCTGAAGGAGGAGGAAGTCATTTACTGTTGTCCATCTCAGGAACACCGTACTGTTTCTTAACAATGGAAACAAACCAACCTAGTGCCCAACCTCTAGTCATGCTTTCATAACATCTCGTCTTTGACCGAGAAGATGAGTTTGCAAGACAGCGCACACACCCCACAGGAGCAAAGCTCTCATGTGAGTCACAGCATCTGCAGGTGGGAGGCCCTCGTATGCTATAAGCTCATTAAAAGCAAGAAAAGCAACTTAATGGTCCACAGCATGATCCAAGATGCAGTACTGATGAAGTCCAGAACAGTTTGAAGATGGCAGCATCCAAATAAAAGACTTATCAGGATTTAGACTTGGGAAAATAGCCTTTGGGTAAAGGAAAAGGCCTGGGTGGGGGCGAAGGGGCACAGAGGCGAGACAGGCACCTCAGAATCCCAACTGAATATGCAGCTGTAATATAGTAGTTCTTTTAGAAAGTTATTTCATTTCTCCTCAAATGTAGAACAACAACAAAGAAAACAAGCAAACAAACAAACCAAAACCCAACAACCACCCGGTCCAAACCAACTGTCAGTTAAGAGATCATGTGTTATAAAGCCACCACAATTTCAGATGGCTCAAGGCCTGGACTAGCAGAGAAGTTAAAATAAGTACATTTTCAGAGTAATCAAGCTTCTGGGCAGCATGAAACCATGTTAGCAGAACTGAGAAGTAAACTTTTACTAGACTGTGGCTCAGTCAGTAGAATCAGACCCATCTTTCCATCAAAACTTAGGCTGGTTTCATGGACAGCACATCCATAATAAAAACCTGCTGTTCCAACTGATCGTGACTAACAGCAAAAGAGGAGAAAAAAGTGTTGCAAATATAGCAGAACTGACTGAGATTCTTGAATTGTTTTACCCTTTCTCAAGCCCCTGTCTCAGCCTAGGAAGAGACCGTTGCCACTTTGTCAGTGTCACATTAAAGTTCACAAGCCCTTTCAGTTGTCAAGCTCTGCCTCCTAAACAAAACTAGGACGGTACAGAGTGAGGACAAACGTATGTTTCTATAAGGAACCTTTTCAGTTTTTATGCTCTGAATAGGGACTGCAGATCTAAATCTGCACTGGCAGTGTTTCAAATGAAGTTTTATCCATATAATTTTGCCCCCTATGACCCCGATACTCACGTCTTCTGGCAGTTATCAGAGAGTTGTCTTTGCTCAAACCTAAGGTTCCGAATCTTTAGAGGTGTTTCTTGCACTGACCCTCTGAAGGGGCAGACACCAAGAAAAGTAGTTGCATACTGGTATTCCTCTTTATGCCAGCTGAATATCTACTCCTTACACAGCTACGCAGGTTAACTCAGGAGAGACTGTACACTGAAGACGGGCAAGGAGGCATGATGCTTTTTTCTTCTTCCAGGTCTCTGGCATAAATGCTATGTTTAGCTAGGCACTAAGTTTGGAGGATTCAGAGGACTCAGAGGTCTAATTAAGAGATTCAGAGATCCTTGTTGAATTTAGCTCCTTGGGTTCATGTTAGGGTAAGACAGAGCAATTGCACAGTGGGAATGAAAAAATATTCAAAAACTCTAAGTAACAACAGTGTGAAACCAGAAGGCAAAACCCAGAAGCTGCAGACCATTAAATACAGCAGGCTAACTGCCCCTGCTTCCCAAGAAGCAGAAAGGCTCATCAGCAAGTCTACCTCCCCATCTGGACAGCAGGCAACGGCTGTGGGAAACCACCCAGTGGCAAACCCTACAGTCCCTGGTTACAGCTGCTGTGCTCAAGAAGGAACTTGGGTGGGAGGGTGAAAAAATGAGACACGCCCTTCTGGTCTCCTGCATCTCCAGAGAGAAAGGGTCAATGCTAATGCAGATACAGCTTGCACGTGCCTCTTATTAGAAGGGGGGTACAGCTAAGCCCAAACGTCCAAAACGTGCAGGCATAAGCATACCATTGATATTGTTATCTAGGAAGCAAAGGTTATAAGCTCCTTTTGTAACTGCACGAAGAGTCCATCCCTTCCTTCTGGGGGCAGAGCGCTATACGAGCACTTTGCAAAGACCGAGCAGAGCATTAACCAAATATTGTATTTCTATGCCTTGTCATCTAAGAAATAAGCTTGACACAAACATAACAGGAGGTGGCCTGTAGCCACCAGTGACTAAAATCGGAGGGCAGTGAAGGGAAGGCCATTTCTTTTTACTACTTCTGTTCCTCTGAAATTATGACTGTCACTTCTAAGAACTGTTTACTTTTTCTAGTATCTCAATAATCTCCTTCCTTACAAATCCAATCCAAGCCCATGTCAACTATTTCCAAAGCCAGGTATTCTTACGGTACAGAAAGTCACATACAGTACGAAAATGGTTGCTTATGCTTGCAACTGCTTTAAAAAAATACTCTTGGTGAGGCATTTGGTGAGAGAGGAAAAACATAGTCACTAAATCAGATATAAATAGGTAATTTCTAATGAGTAAGACACTAGTCAAATTATAAATACTAAACATTTATTATTTTTCTCATAGGAAGGTTGCAAGATTCAATTTCAAACAACAGGGCAAGGTCTTTTGTTGCTGTTGGGATTTTGTTTGCTTCTTTCAAGGGGAAAGAAAGAAGAATGAGAAACTGGTGTAAAGATACTACCAGAGCAGTGCAAATTTAGATTAATTTCTTTCTTACCTTTACCATCCCAGTGCTGAACTGCCAAGCTAAGCCCTTCCCCAGTTAAATAAAGTCTGCTTTAACATCATCCAGTTTCTTGTACATCACTGAACAAGAATCACAGCCCTCCTTCTTCTTTCACCCTTATCCTACAAGAACATACCTAGTACAGTGACAGCCTTGTAGCAACAGTAAAAGCCGGGAGAAAGCTAACATGGTGACACTTCATAAATTTAACCTGAACAGAATGAAAATTAACAAAACTTAACCTTCGTGATCAGCCGTGCACAGTGCAAAGATATCCAATAATGCAGCTCACCAGCATTGTTTTTCCAGCTTCCTGTCACAAATACATTTTACACATCCACAAAAAGACAAAAGAGGAAAATCATGTAATCCAAGAACACTTTACTTTCAGTTTTAAACTAAGGAAGGCAAGCTTTTAAACAGGAATTACTGACATCTTATGAAAGTCCGTCATTATATATCTGGGAACGGGAGGCGAGTCTTGCCTCCTAACAATTGCTCACAATGGGCAAAAAAGATTCATTAAAACTACCAAAAGCCAACAGGACAGTCGACATCGGCAGCACCCATTGCTTTCTGCACTGGCGCCGCTTACACAGATGTGCAGACTGAAGTTGGCACATGCAAAGTCCCATCACTTCTGTGATCTTGTCTCAAGTAGAAGGCAGTCGCGGTGGCTTCTGGGCCCGCCGGCTTCCCTCGAGCAAATACATTAGAATGTGATGTTTGCAAGACCTATTTGAAAAGAAAGGGGGATGGGGGGGAGAAACAAGTGTTTATTCTTATACTACCTGTACTTCACTACTATTAGGACAGTTAGACACAGGAAGAAGGATGCTTTGAGAATTTTTTTTTTTTAAACTTAAATGTAAAGGATTTAGTGGCAGGAAAGGAAATTAGGAAACATGTTGATCTGTACTTTTTTAACCCTAATTAATTTGAATAAGCCAATCTGAAGGAGTACTGAAGTTATTCATGGCAGAAGGAACAACACAGAGGCTGCTGATGAACTAAGGATCTGCCCGGGAAATTAAAAAGAGAAAGCTGAGGAAAAGTACCATTAATGAGGGCAGTAAATTCACTCTGGATAAAGAAAAATTCCTTTGTATTAAGGCATATCCATGCATTAGACATTTGATTATCTCCTTTGGGATTTGTCTTTTTTGACTTCTAAGATATGCTGCGTCACTTAACTTCAGTACCCAAAATTGTCCTAAATACTTCTCTAATCACAGCAAAGAATAATGCTGGAGATCCCAGGAATACCGGCTACTATGAACAGGGGAACTTTTTGGCCTTAGCTCCTCTAGAAATAAGTTCTGTATTAGTCATCACTTTTTAGTCATAAAAAATCAAGTGGAAAATGTGCATTTCTGCAGCTCAAACTGTCGAAATTGTAGGATTCGGGTCAGCAGACATCACAAGCTAGCACCTCTGTTACCGCAGCAGCAACAGGGTATTGATAATCTAGTTTTACCAGCTGTATCAGATGCTTTGCTACTCAGTCTGGCTGCACAACTTCAGCAGAGATTCCATCTATTCACATTTGCTAAAGAACAGCAAATAAAATTTGTTCTTGAATACTACTTTGTCAGGAGCAAGAGAAGGGCAGAGAAGGAGAAGGGGAGGAAAAAGATATAAACTGGCAGGCAGAGAACTCTTCTGGAAAGACTGAAGTCCCTGAAATTGCAGACAGAAGTAGAGATAAACTGCATCTGCAACAGAGTTGTCTTTCTAATTTGGACAAATAATGGCTGTAGACATCCATCCTTCACCCAAACCATAATTCCTTTTATTTTATTATTTCTTAAGCAGCAGCAACATACATAATGCTACATAAAGCATAAATCAAGTCTCTCTGTTTCAAAGAAATTCCAGTCTAGGAGAGACAGAATTTTGAGAACAAAAGGAACATTTAAAAGAGTTAACTTCAGAAGGAATTTTCCCCCCAGGAGAAAGTAGCGTGGAAAACTTAAGTCTCAGATGGATGTAAATGGGGACAGTGCAGAAGACGACTGGGCTAAGTAATGCAAATTTATTTTTATGTTGTCAGGACACTGTGATTTCATATACCATGTGCCCATATGGCACTTTACGTGCATAGGATTTGTAAACCTTTCAATTAGCACTGGTAGTATAAAGCAGGCAGTTATTTAAAGTAACCCATACGGCATCTTTTGGTGTAAAAATTCTAACTCCCCTGTACTGGACAGGCTTCCTCTTGGGCAATTCAGATGTCGACACAAACCCTCAAAAGGCTGTGGAGAAACAGTCACAAGACACCACCTGAGAGGTGTTCACAGCCCCAACAACGACAGGGAAGCAGACCCCGTTCCTGCTACAGGATACTTCTGTCATACATCTGGTGTACATAGCCTCAGTCTTTCCACATAAGATTTCAATGTGGAGGGTCACCTCCTAGGTGTTGGAGAACATTACCCAGATTACTGCTGTCCTTTGAAGCCCAGCAGATGCAGTAGTGCTGCATCAGTTGTTCAAACAGTTCCTTTTCATCTAGGAATTCAAGTCCTTCTATTCTGTAGGAATAAAAGAAAAACTGTGATTCAAACTGGAGTCTCAGTACAGTTTTTGATGTACTCTTTCTCACTCCATGAGAGTGAAAACTACGGCCAATAAGGCAGTTACCTTTCTAGTAAATTAATACAGGTATTTGTCCATAATGAAGATACCACCACTACTCCTAGCCTTTGTTTTCAAGGTATGAAACAAGTGACCCACAAGACGTTTTCAACTTCTCATCCCTGGAATTTCATGTTCCAGGACTAATCTGTGTAACTGCTCACAAATACCAGTATTTCTCTTCTAACCCCTTTTACTGCACGTATCTGGTCTTGCTGGATTTAAGTAGACACAATAGTACAGCCTAATGGAAGGAGATTTATCTTTATCAAAGGATTACAGCGAACAGTTGAAGATAGTATTTTCTCCAGACAATCACAACAACTCCATATTATGTCTTGGAAGAGTGATGGGTACACCAGTGCAGCTTCTAACAACTCTCCCACATGAGCTCATGATGAAGCACAAACCAAATGGTACATATAAGATCTGAGGATTTTTTTCCTAAAATTGTTCCTACCTAGGATTCTTAAAGTAAGATCTTTGAATGTCTTCCACCAAACAAATGGGAGAACTTATCCCAAGTTGTGCTTGCTTTAAAAAATTTAACCTGGCACATTCCTCTCTCTCACTCTAGATTACTTGAATATCAGAGTGTTTATTTTCCATGTTAAATATTTGGAAGGGCTGCTACTGAGGATTAAAAGACGCTGAGGGGCAAATACACTCACAGATGTGCAAGTGCTGCAGAAGAATACTTTTGGAAAGATTTTTATAAATAGAAAGCATTATTTGCCTCATTAATATTGAAGGACAGGGTTTACGTAACCTATTTCTTGGCATTTGGAACAAGTGGAAGGAGCTGAACAGATCTAAGGTAGTCAAAAACGCTGCAAAAAAAGTACAAGCTATGTCTCTCCACAAGTGCCATATGGTACAATCACAGAGTCATCATTCCTATTTAAACAACCTATGATTTTCAGTCTCACCTGTTCAGTTCCGTGGTTTGAGAAATCCCCATATGTGAATACTTATTTTGACCAAGGTAACTTGTTCAGCTAATTCAAACTATAGTTAATGAATGACTCACAGCAATTCATACTTCATATTATATACCTAAGAAGTTACTCATTAAAAAGTTTCCCCTTTTTTAGCTTTTCTTTAATGCAAAAAAATTAACAAAATCCATGCAGATTACTAGCAGCCTTTAGTTATACCCTCTATGTACTAAGCTCTGTCTACAGACCCAGCAGTCTAGCTCATGAGCATGATATGAATGGAAGACTGTCTTCTCAGTCTGTTGAGAGATAGTCAGGCCACGCTGTTGGGCACACTTCTCTCTCTCGCCCTTTGCTTGTATAGTACAATAGGTCATAGCACTAAATTACTGCCCTGCCTTGGCTCATTACCTAAATATGCTACCAAGGAAGAAGGGAGGGAAGAACAGGACTGGCCATTTTCTACCCACTTGTAGTAAAAAAGCAAATGGGTAAGTAATCTTACCTAGGCCTATAAGACTGGAGCAAACACCTGGATGTCATCGCCCTTGGGGACATGAAAAGTGGCTGCCTGTTCTGAGTGTATTTTATAACTCTGCTCCACCCATCTAGTATTGTGGAGGCTGGATGTTCACAAGAAACATCTTAGGTACTGTAAAAACTCAACACAGCATTTCTGTAGCATCTTTTATCTGCAAATTTCTGTCATGAGATGCTTTATATCGCACCCAAATAAATCATCACCACTGCCAGTCTACTTCGGGCAGCAGTAACCCTCTGGATCATTAATGCTGCCCCAGGCATTATCCTTAAGGCTCTGCAGAGCTTCAGACTCAGACACATTCTGTCTACCTAGCTAGCATCTGCACACAGCCTCCTCTCTGTTATACTAGGGGATCCCATACTACATATTGAGGTGAACTACCTTGGAAATGGCATCTGAAGATGACTTTTGGCCACAAGCAAGCTATCAGTAATACCTTTTGACATCAGCCTGTGGCAAAAAGCTGTACACTTTCATCATATCAATGGCACGTGCAGTTTCCCAGCCATTTAACAGCAGTCGTTCCCTCTGTAAAATAAACAAGCAGCACAGTTTTCAGAGGACTCGAGGAAAAATACCAGAGAACAGGTTTTCCCCCTAAGGATTTTGTAGGCCATCTGCTTGACCTGTTCTTTGAAGAGCTCTTACACTCTTTTCTAAGCATCTGCTGATAACCTCTGCGCAGAAAGGACAGTGGGATAGACGGAGCTGTGCTCCAATCTACTGCGGTTTTTGTACAACTACCGAAACTAAGTGGTATCGATCAACCATGGCACTGATAACAGGGAACCACTGTAACACGGACAGGAAGGAGTTTCAGTAGGTAGCAGCTGCCCCCCCAAACCTGCTTTGGTCACTGCTCTGAGCCTTACAGTGCACACACAGAGGCAGAACTTGCAGGCAGGTTAATTAAGTTTAATATCGAACACACCCAGAGCTCTGTGCCCCTTTACCTGAGAGTCCAAGGATCTGCAAACTTCCACTCCAGCCAGGTTACACTGTCGTCTCTGCAAGTTCTCAATCATGATCTGTCCAAACCGGTCCGTCATATTCACCTCAGGTAGAGAATGAGACAAAAGTGTTCCCCCTTCCGAAAAGAATGTAATCGCAGCGAAAAGCAGTAACTTGGTTAAACTCTCGAATTGTCTGTGTCATAAAACGTACAGGATAACACTAAAGTAAGTTTCACATATTCTTATACCAGGTCTCATTTCCCACTGCCACAACCTCCCCAGCTACCTCACGTTTACAAGTTGAGTGCCAGTTTTAACGGTGACAATGCTACTGCCTTTGGAGAGACAGGGACTCTGCACTGGGCACTGAAAACTGACTCTGCTTTAAGTTGTCAGCAACTTGGTTCAGCTCTCTAGCAGTGATTTACAGCTTGGACAATCCTGTTACGAATTCCTGGAGCCACCCAGTTCCCTCGAGGCAGCATTTTACTTCCATACAGGGAAGCCAAGTTCATGCCGATGTGATTTTTGCTCCACTTTGTCAAAGAACACAGAGAGGTAATTACATAATGTTATACGCTCATTTCCAACATTCGGCATAGTTTCTTTTTCCTCTGTCTTATCTAAACCAATATTCTGTAGTTTTCTCCATGTATGGATTAAGCCTCAGTTCTTTTGGTTCAATATAGTCCAGCAATTGTCTTTCAGAATAGCTACATATTCTTTACAATGAGCTAACAAATCTACAAAATCAAACACGTTACTGAAGAAATTCAGCAGAAACTGCTGTCTATACAAAAGGATATGGCCCACTCTTATTTTACAAGCAGAACTCCCATTTCTGAGAGCAATTTTTATGACAATAACGCAGGTCTAAAAATGACATTTTTGTTTTACCTGCTCGTAATTTATAAACATCGCCACTGGAAAAGTGCTTGCTGCCCACTTTAAAAGATTTGCAGATTGCTGTGGTGTCATGTAAACCAGTACACACTCCGCTACCAGAAGTGTTGGCAAACTTTAAAACAAAAAAACAAGAGAACTATTTCTAGCAAAAGAACAAGAAAAATCTGTAAAGAATTATTAGCAAGCAAGTAATTTCATGTCCCCAAAAATTCTTAGAAGAGCTACCCTTCTTATGAACTAAACATTTAAGACCGAATGAAATCACTTCATCAAGTTGACTAGAACTGGGTTTTCTGGCAGTCGACAGGGGACTCCCATGGTTACAAAAGAGAGATAATGAGGAAACAATCTCCCCTAAGGCAGCCATACTATGAACAGAGAAGAATGTGTATTCTGTAAGTCTTCTCTGAACTGTGATAGCATGAACTGAAGTGCATACTAAAATTCATCTTGCAGAAGAATTGTACCCTATATATACAATCCGCACTCTTTTAGAGATCAGTAAAATTAGGAATAAAATACAAATTGGAAAAAAAAAAGTTCTCCCTTTTAAAAAAGTTCTAAAAAGAATTTTAATAGACAAATTTGTTCAATATCTGTAAAACAAGCTTCACATATTATTATCTAAGAAAATGCAATCTATAGTTTGCACGTTGCCTCTTCCCCCTCCGTCCACAAAAACCCCAAAATAGACATCTACACGAGTAATTTTCCTTTGAATTATGGAGTTTTCTTTTAATTGCTAGAATGAACAGGAAAAAGAAAAGTCACTAGAAGCAGGAGAAATTCCACAAGGAGCAGCAATGTAGGCAAGCAAGGCAAGATTTCAGAAGATGGAAGTGTAAAGATTTAAATGGCAATTTGATGCATTCTGCTTACCCATATGCTCTCTCCCACCCAGCCAGATAGCCGCTATTTATATATCTTATATTTGAAAGGTACGTCCATCATCCACTCTAAATCTTAAATCCTGCCCCCTCCAGAAGCCTAACGGTTGAACAATAAAATCCCAGATATTAACTTCCAGAGCTAAGTTCTCCAAGGACTCCATGGCAATCACTCTACCAAAAGGTCTAGGGAACAAGAGGGGGTTTAAGTGGAGGCAATAGAAAATAATTACAAAGATAAAACTCTGAAATAATTTAACATTGACAGAGTTATTCTTCATTTTACCAGCTAAGCTCCCAGAAATCTTGACTCAGGCAGCCATTACAACAGGGGTGGAAGATGTTCACTGATCGAGGCGCTGCACATCAGTCAGCATTAAAACTAAATGTAACTGAACCAACTCTTAAAAAACCCACAATTTATGACATTTTGAGACATCTCTAGTTTAGAGACTCCCCTTGAATAACTTATGATTCTATTAACTAGATTTCAACCAAATTCAAGCAAGGGGTAACTCTTTTAGAAATCTCTAAAACAGTTAAATTCATGAAGTAGAGAAAGAAAACTCGTATGAGCTCCGAGGCAGAAAATGGCTGCTGCGGGAACTCATCCCCTGCAGGGCAAGGGATGGGCGAGGAATCGAGAAGGAATTACAGCTGCCTGGCCTGCAACAAGAGCTTTAACTTGTGCGAAAGGATCATGTACCCAAAGAGAACCAACCACCAGAAACACATTCACAGAAAGCCAGACTTCATTCCCCCCAGCATTTTAAGAACAAGAAGCAAATAGTTCTGTAATGTTTGATCTTCTCAGGAAGGACGAAAACGCAGTTTGCAGAATAGACTGCGCAAGGAACAACCTTGCTTCAGACTTGGAACTACCGAGCAGTCACAGCAATGCCAGCCTGCTCGGCTCAGTGAGGCTGCATGAGGTGTCTGAAAAATTCCTTCTGCTCAAAGGGCTCAGGAAAAGGTAACCATGGAAATAGCATAATGAGCACTGGATGCAGATGCTGTATGCCCAAGCCTGACGTTACTCTCACCAGTACGCTTCCACAAGCCCTCATCAAAAAAATATTTATAAAAAAAAAAAATAATCTTACTGTATATCCAGGTTATGTTTCTTTAGCTTTTCCTCCAGATCTGATGAGAAACGGAGATCTGCTCCTACTATGGAATATCGACTGGAGTCTAGGCTGTGAGAATCTGCAAGTTTAAAATTTTGAAAGACTAACGGTTACAAATAAGAGTGAAGCTGAAATTATAAATTAAAAAAAAAATACACAGAACATATGAATTTGAAGTCCAGGTTTGATCTGTTATACCTAACAATTAACAGCAAACTCTTCCTTTTAAAACATTAATTTCCCTTACACCTGATTGTTGTGGTTTACAGATGGTGATATATTAGCATCAGACTCTACAACAAGCCTACTCTTTCACTCTGCAGCCACCCTAATGCAGATAGGTTATCCCATCCGTTACCATGGTTTCAAGGAATGCAGAGAGAAGAAAAATGTGAAGATTAAAGGCAGGGGTTTTTGTATTGTTTGGAGAGTCTTTTTAGATCACCCAATGTATGTACGTAAGGGACTACATAAAAAAAAAGGTGCATCAATTTCTGAAAAACTAAGTTAAGAGTAACAATGTTCCAAATATTAACAATAGATATAGCTATATAAATTAACAATACATATAGCTGTATAATATATACAGGTATCAGCCACAGATTTAGGGGCCAAAAAAAGTTGCCATTTAGCCTCTTCGTAAGATCTAGTGATGGTATTTAAGTGTCAAGTCAAATTAGAAAAGGTATTCTGAGAAACAAATATTCGCCCTGGGATACAACAGGCAGCAAGCTCCTGTAAATGCTTTCCAACATGAAGGACGAACTAATACTAAAGTCAAAAGACACTTTGCCATACTAGCAAAACTGTAAGGAAGCCAGCAGCAACATGAGCATCTTGCTGTCAATAATTCTGACAACCAGTTGCAATCAATTCAACCAGATGAGTCCAGTCCCCATAGAAAGCATTTTACAAGTACAGCATCAAACCCACTTAAAGACGTAAAGTTCTGCAGGAATATATCAGATCGCTCTTTCACGCTTTAGCTTTACTAGAGTGAAGTCATGAGGACAGAATAGCACATAACTTTCCCCTCTTACCATACGAGTGTGACAGAGCAAGCAATAAAATAAGTAAGCTAAATAGTGAAAAAACCCAGAGTGAGAGTTTAAAGTGGTCCTGTAATGGCCAGTCAATACCCGTCTGCAGTAGCAAGCTCTGGCACAGCTCCATTTGGGATCCTGCTGCAGACAGACACAGCTCCTGAACGGTAATACGGGAGCAGATGTCAAGGGCTAGGTGAAGAGAGAAAGGGAAGCCAAGTGGCTGAAGAGACAGGATGAAAGGGGTTTTCCATTTCAGGAGAAGGGAAAAAAAAAGGCAACTTATTAAATTAAGCAGTGCTTCAAACATTCTGGAAGATGTACCTCCGTTTAGTTTTCAAGTGACCAACTGTTTGAAAATGGCACTAGCAAGTGATAACAGCTGTCTTTCCAACAACACTTCTGAACAGATACAGAAACCAGAACAGTTCATGCAGAGTTACACGAAAAAAAAGAAAAAAGAAAGAAGAAAAAAAAAAAAAAGTTGTGCGGCAAATGATTCAACGTTTTGAGTCAAGGCTTTTTTCCATGTGCATGTTCTGTAATAGCTTTACTACTTCCCACACCCTTCTATTTAAGTTATTATATCAAGGCCATGATAATGGCATCAAAAAGAGCCACACAAAAAAACCCTACCACACACAGGAAAGTATTTATATAGCGATTGGTTTGCTGTCCGGAGATACAGCACAGTAAGCGTCAGTCACCACAATTAGTATGAAATTAATGCAATCTTCTTGTCCAGCTTCATTGACTTGGACATACTGGTATGTTAATTATAACCAGAAATAAACTACAGAAAGTTTTAAGTGATCCGGTATCGGAAGTAGTCCAAACACTTCAGCAGAGGTGGGAATAAATGCTCACACCATGTTGATTCAAGCATTTCTATCACTGAAGAGCAGGAGAGAGCAAAACCTCTCAAACCTTATGTTAGAAAACCGTCCTTCACAACGGTTCAAATTTCAGCAATCAAAATTACTAATGTTGTTTTTAATAAGCTTGAACAAACCCCACAATTCCTGTTACGTCTTGACATGGTGGGAGAGGGGATGGCCAAAGGAAGCAACCTGGGCGATCCTCAGTGCAGCCCAGCACAGTTGTTTTTGGAGATGTGGGTTGTGGACAAGTGAAAGTAAGCAGCCATCTAGCCATAACCTGGTTATTCCAAGTTATCTTCTGGGAAAAAAAACAAACAGCAAACTAGAGCAGGTTTCTTTAAGGGTGATTTGGCTCACTGGTAAGATTCCTTAAACCTTAAAGCCAAGTATACTTAATGCCTTAATACAGGACCCCTTGCAGCAGAAACTTTTAAAAGGCCAAGAAAACTGATGAGGAATGGATTGTCTTCCTCTCTTCAAAAGCCTTTTACTCCAAATGCAATCACTTTACTCCCATTTCCAGCATCCAGGCTGCCTGGTTCTCCTTTGGTCCATTCAAACAGAACGTACTTGTTCCTCCACACATTTTCCTGCCAACTTCCCTCGACTCTCCATTGATGGTTGTTGGCAAACACAACCACAGATAGTACCGAGGCAGAGCTGCACACACATTACACACAAGCTGATACAATTGCTAAAAATTGTACCTTTTAAACATATCTGAAAGCACCTCATTAAGTATCTCCATAATTCATATATTTCAGCATTTACGATCAATACTTCTATCTTGAAAGAAATCTTAGAGAAAAATATGAAATTTACAGTAGTCAATTTTAAAATGCAAAAAGAGAGGCAAAAGGAAAAAAAGCAAGAGGAAGGAGTTTAAGTTAAGCCTCTTCCAAACTTCCTTGTAAGATTTTCTGCTAGCTTCCACCTTTGGCCTATACATGGCATTGAAAATTCCTTTTCAATGGGATGACCATATAAAGTCAAAGGGATGAAGAGATCATACTTAACTAGGCAAACAACTTCAAAATTTTAAAATCAGACTGACAACTGCTCCACCACCCCACACTTAGATAGCAGACACTCACTTACTGCAAGGCAATGGCAGCTGATGATAGCTGGGATTGCCACTGTTCCCAGCCTGGAGGCTAAAAGTCAAAGTACGGCCATAAACACCCCAGAAAAGAATGTGCTGCTAGTTCATGGTCTGGCACCAATTTCTACTTTATTGCAGAGTTTGATGCTCTAAGTATGAAAACTTGCAAATATGCTGCCACCCTGACTGAGCAGCGTTGGTGCAAATGTATTTTACAATACCTGCCTATCTACAGAGCAGACGAAAAAGAAAAAGCAAGTGTCAGCTCGGTAGCGCAGTCACATGGTCTCCATTGATTTCTTCTTATGAACAAGAAGTTTCTTTTAACTGAATCAAATTTTTTGGTGTTAAAAAAAACCTACTTTTTTTTCCTTACTGTAGTCTCACTCTTCCGAAGGTGTCTGCCACAGTGACCTCCCCGCAGACGAGAGCCCTGCACGCTCCTTCAGATCTCTGCTGCTGCCTTCCCTTCTGGCCGGGCCAGAAAACACCACCCACACTGCACTAACACAGAACTCGGTGGCAGTTTTCAAATAAACGGGGCCACCTTGTTGTGACTCAGGCCAGCTGTCCTAATGCTGGCATAGCCAGCAACATTTGGTGGCTTAATCCATTGAAAATCCCATATTCCAACCACTAATTCCCACCCAGAGGCCAGTATTTCATGTTTTTTAGCCAAGTTGTTTGGTCATTATGTTCTTTTCTAGAGCACGGAGCTACCTCACAGTTTTCTTTGTGATGCTCACACTCAGCATAGTCAGTTATGTACAAAGTTTCTCTCCTGTATTTGTCTGAAATGAAGGTTTGAGGAATACCAGATTCAGATTTCATTTGAGAAATACAAGGGAGGAGAAAGGGGAGAGAAAGAAATCGACCTCCATCACTCCAGCCCACCCCGTGTACCCAACACACACTCTCTCAGCCTAGATGCACGCTTCTCTTATCCATGCATAACGCAATAGAGAACGTTTTGTTCTGATCATATCACTTGTATGTATAGTTTCCATGACTTTTGGCACAGAAGTAACAATATAAGTGGTTCGAATTTAGACATCATTACAGTAACAGAATGGTAGCAGGAGTCACTTCTAGTTGCCTTTTGACCTCACTGCAATAAAATTTTTCTTCACAGAAACATGCTACCAGCAAGTAAATGATCTGGTTTACGGTGGCCCCCAGGTACTCATCCACCACCTTAATCCGTCTGCTGAAGCAGCACTACAGAACCACAAACGCACGAAGCGCAGTGTTTCCTCTGCTACAAGAATTTAGAGTTTTCTTTTCTTACTCTCTTCTCAGATTAGTGAAACTATTTCCTGGAGGTTTTCCAAGAGACAGCATGCAGGATACTATTGACTCAAACCGATTTCATTAGGATTTTCATCCTAAGGTATCTTTGGCAGCTTTACAAACAACCAGCCCATACAACCTATTCTGCAGGCTCACAGGCATGACACAGTATTGGTTTTGCTCAGGTTGTTTACACCTACGACATCAGAACAGGGTACGTGTCAAAACACAAAGAAATTCAGTTTGTCTTGCAAGCGCAGGACCCTCCCCAGTGCAAGGCATGCAAGTCACCAAGACGGCAACAACCCTGACGTCTGCATTCGGTCACAAGCAAGTTTGGAAACGTAGAGAAAAGGAAGTTAAAACAACCAACTCCCAAAGCTGGACTAGACAGGGCCAGAAAGTGCACGAGTGGCACTGAAAGGTAATAGTTCACTGAAGTGTAATTTGCACTCGCAAGGTAGCAGAGTGCTAACTTCCCAACACTAGCAACTGCATCATAAACCAGATAGCACCACTGAACTTTGAAAACAGTTTAACCCGATATTGCCACAGCAATGACAAATTACTGCACAACTTCACTGCTTTCCCCTGGAGATCTAACATTCCCTAGGAAACAGCAAACTTGAATTGCAAGCCGTGCTGTCATTGCTTTGTCTAAAGGGGAAGGAGAAAGAAGATGTTGCCCCGAAGCTGATAAAGTTGTCTATTAGCACCAGCTTCATGAAATGAAAACATTTAGTGTGAGAAGGAAAGCAGTAAGAGAACAAGAGTCATGTCAATCAATATTACAGCAACTCAAAAATCAAATTCCAAAGCATCTAAACAAGTTATTCCTGGTATACATGAGACAGCAGTGTGGAACTGATTTTTTTTTTTTTTTTTTTTTTAAATGCATATTGCCAATACTTGCTTGATACCTGGGAAGCTGAGCTATGTCCCATTAATTCTGTGAGCATTACTACTCTTTTAGTTAATACTAAAATCCTGGTCCATATCCCCACCCCGAAAACCACATAAATGAGTAACATTTCCCTACCTGGAAATGCTGCTTCATGCTGCCCCACTACAATCCCTATGACAGGTGGTATTCCCAGAACATTGCATTAGTCTAACAGCTGTATCAGGTCAGACCAAAGGTCCCCCTAGTATGGTATCCTGCCTCTCACAGATGCCAACAGCAGCTACCTAGGGAAAAGACAAAAAGAGGGCAAACATGTACTACTAATACTGGCATCTATGTTGTTTTCTATCTTTTTTTTTAAGAATCCTTACATTTGATTTGGATTTCTGGACCATTACTGAGCCAATGTTTTCATATATCTATCTATTATAATACTCAGATCTTGTACACCAGTAGCAATAATCAACCAGCTGCCTATCGTTTACATGTAAGGCACAAACTACTTTTTCCACCCATGTGCATCACTTTATATTAATTCGCATTGAATTTATCACCAAGTCACTAATTTCACAAGATTCTTCTACAGTTCTTTACCACTCTGAAGAGTTTGGACTTGCCAACAAGCTGCCACTTACTAGTCACTCTATTTTCCCAATCATTTCTTAGTGTTGAACAACAACATATCACTAAGCACAGATCTCCATCTCCCTCCATAATGAAAATTAACAACATATGCCTACTCTCCATCCCCAGCTCTTTATCCATATGAGAACCAGTCCTTCCCCCCACAACAACTGTGCAGTTTCTTTGGCAAACTTTGGTAAGGGACACTGCCAAAACACATTTTTTAAATTCAAGCACTGTATTAATTGGATGTCCTTTTCCAAGATATCTGTTGACTCCTATAGAGAACTCCATTAGGTTTGTGAGGCATAACTTACCTTTACAAAAGCCATGTAGACTCTTTCTCAACAATTACATTATTCCTGTGTTCCACTAAGTCTGTCTGTTAGAGTTTCTACTAATTTGTCCAGTAGAGACATCAGTCCTACTGACTTGTAGTTCCCTGGATTTCTCCTGGAGCCCATTTGAGTCACAGCCGCCACCTTCCAGTTCTCAGGTACTAAGACAGTTTTAAAATGAGAGGGTATACACCAGTTAGTAGCTGAGCGAATTCATTGTCAAGTTCCTTTAGATCTGCAAGAAATCTCTATTCATCTGACTGTTTGATTTGTCTACTTAGTCCACAGCCTCTTCCGGTGGCACTTCCACATGAAGCAGTGCCATTAATATGTCCTTAAATGAGAGTTCCCACATGGATTTCACTCAAACTGACCTGTGGTTATCGAGTGCCAGTTCAAACTGGGATTCCACAACAGGCTTCCTCCATCTCCAAATATCTGGACATTATGCTACATCCCAAAGATCTCAGGGTAGTAGAGCCTACATCAGCTGGGTAAATGGCTACTCAGTAAAATGGCTACTCTAAAGTATTTAAAACCCAGCACTGAGAAGGAACAAGAGAAACAGCTTTAGAGAAATAAGACACGCCAATACATTCAAACAGTGATACATTAATTGCTGTTGACTGCTGTGACTTGCTCATTAGGGGCTTTTGATTACAGTACACTGCTGCAACTTGCCAACTTTGCAGTTGTTTTACTGTACTAGATGTATGTACAGTTGTTCAGTAACACAAATACTACCAAACCCTTCTGATCGACCTTGTATTAATGCCTTTTTAACAGTGCTTATGCAGCATATCCCATTGTATATAAGAGATACGTTATAAGAAGGTCTCCTAGCTGAAACACAGTGGTACTTAGGAGCCCTTTTGCTGAGATGGGGCAATGGGCTTTCATCTTTTGAGACGTGAATGTACAATGGAGAATTCTGCCATACAAATGACATCTAAAAGGTTGGTAAGTTAAGACCCTCTAATATGCAGCAATAAAATGTGCGTAATATGCATAAATATGCACAGTCAAGTCAGTGTGTGGCAGTACTCTGATCCAAGTTAAAGCACTAAAAGATCCTTGGGGTGAAGCACCTACACCTTGCCACTGGCAGCACGAGCACAACTCCTCACTATTTGCACTCTCCCTCACTCTTTGGAGGGCCCTTTCAAGCCCTCCAGATCCTTAGCTAGAATTGCGCTTATTAAAAGCACCTATAGATGTAATCACATCAGGGAACACAAAACACCGCCAGCTCTGTTTTAGGGTCACATCTGCTAACACAAATTAGCTGGTAGCGTCGATGCAGGTAATTACTGTTCCTCCTAAAGGGTCCAAAGCAGCTACTATAGTGCGGTATCTGCTATTCGGGCACTGAAAACATTACTCAATGGAACCCAGTTTTTTCTTCCACAAGTACGGAGTTTTTTGAATTACAATCCTGCCACAAACATAATGAAGGTATAAGCCAAGACAGTACAACCACACAACACCACCTGAATCTAAAATCCTCTTAATACTAAATGTAACAAATGGCACTGGCTCCCGAGAATGGACTTTGCAGGCTGCATTTCTTCTGTGAAGACTCCGCTAAATGTAAAGGCTTGTGCTCTTAATGAGACAAAAAGAAGATAGAGGAAAACACTCAATAGCTATTTTAATCCAGTATACATGACTATCAGTAGCATTTTTCCTTTTCTGTGACAGAAAAGAAAACATAACTTAAGCTACGTACCAGAGAAAAAGAAAAAACCCAACAACTTTCTGGCAGAATAAAACCACTTCAAGAGAAGACGTTTCTAACATGACACAGAACAAATGGGCAGGAGTCTGTAAGAGAAGAAGAAAAAGCCTCTTTTCCCTCCCAATTCTCTGTCCAAACAGCATTTCAAACATTAAAAGCCTGCCCACATAGCAGAACAAAATGATCAGAAAAGTTTTAGAAGTGCTGCAGTACATTGCTGACTTATTTTTAAGATGACTCACCTATTAGAAGAGAGTCCCCTGAATGGGATTCCATAATTGGTTTTGACAGGGGAGGTTTTGATCTGTGGGAAGAAGGAAGAAGCATCTCTGAGCAGTTGAGCTTGTTTAACAGTGTGCTTACAATTTTTTTTTTTTTTTAACATATATATATATGTGTGTGTGTGTTAAAAACAGACAAGAGAATACCTCTGCCCTCTACTGGAAATAAAAACGTTTGCAAGTTAGACAGTAATAAGTTGCAGTTGAGTTTTATACCAAATGACCCTTAAGTTTTGAGGTAATCTTTCAAGAGAAATCCAGACACTCTCCCCAGATATCCTCCATAAGCCTTAATGCATCCATTCAAACAGAATATTCACATATAGTACCAGCCATCCTACCTCTCCAACCGAACACGCAAGTCTGGGAATTTACTACTGTCTTCAATAGTAAGATTAGACTTAATTGCCTCTAATCATCGTGAGGCTTCCCCTGCCCATTATGTTTTACATAATTAAGAATAAAGTCTGCTTGCCTCCCTAAAGCTTCCACATACCAACTTCTCCAATTTGGAATACTGGCTGCACAGTCACGTGTATGACTCGCCTGCATAACGAAACCTTTATTCTAAATCCTAGAGCATGAAGAGTTTCTCAGAAGAGAGAGGAAATAATTGTAGCTTGCAATTCATGACATTTTGCTGAATTACATTCAGTTTCACATAGCTAAACATAATCATTATACTTACTTGATATTATGTATTTTTCTTGCGACTATCATTGGAAAATCCACTTCAAAATATTTTCTAGGGAGAAGATTTTCATCCTGAAAATTGGAGTCAGGCTCTAGAATTAGTGACATTCAAGCTTCACATGCACGTGACAAGAAGATATAACCTCAAGTCCTAAACAGTTTTGTTTTAGTTTACACTGGCATTTGTAACAATAGTATAACTTAATGTCCCACAGCTTAAAAAAACCCAAAACAACAAAAACAGTTGAGAGACATTGGAATGTCCGCTAGGCATTAAGGAAATTATTTAACATTTTACGTAACGCGGCAATCCTAGACACTAGGTCACTGAAACATATATGCCAACAATGCATTATCAGGATCTAGAAGAGCACAGCAACAGGAAACTATTACAACATTTACCATGCATCCTCAGTACATTCTTCTAAGAAAGGAATCAGGAACATTTTGCACAGGTTTACACAACGATCCACAATCTGTCCTCAAACCCACAGCCTGACTACAAGCGCATCGGTATTCCTCTACTACACAAAAAAGGGGGAAACCTCTCCATTTCATATTGTCACTATCTGGCACCCCGACAGATAAGCTGTACCAAGTTTCTCCCTATGCAGCAATCCTTTTGTGATGAATATGTACTGCTAGTTCTAGCTTGTCAACCTCATGAATTTCTGAACAGTAGATTAAATCAGTAGTCAGAACACTGAAGCGCTCGGTTAACTGGGCCCCACCTTCTGTACGTTAATTATACCACGCCTGCTCTTTACAAGGAGAAATAATTGGAATTACAGGCCCCGCTTTAGCTTTTAAAATCACTGTTACGGGGAAGTTAATAAAACTGTGTATTGACGTAGTTTTCATAAGAATGCAGGGAAGAAAAAAGCTTCACATCTCAGAAAAAATTCATTATTTTAGTGGTGGATTTGGTAGTGCCAGGTTAACGGTTGGACTCGATGATCTTAAAGGTCTTTTCCAACCTAAACGATTCTATGATTCTATGAATTGTGACCAAGCAAAATGCGACTGGCCTCCTTGGGCTTTCTTCCAGAAACCAAATTTACAAATGTAAATGCTAACGAGAAGACAAGATGAATTAGAGGTGTGTTCACTCAGAATGATACTATCATATAATATCTGAATAATCTGAATTTTTATGAATGACATGCATACAGACATATATATTTACATACATAAACTCACATTTATATAAATAATTCAGAAACGTGTAAACAGAGCCTGTACAATCCTGTACTTTGGTACCTTATTCCTGTTTTAATATAGGATAAAAAAGTGAAATCTTAAGGCTTACAGGGGACAGCAGAATGTGGAGTTCAAACTCTGTTCCTCAAAGTCCACTAGAGGCCAGCTTTGTGTCACACACCTTTTGGGAAAAGCCAGTGAGAACTGCAGCCCCTCCTGGGCACTGAGGTTTAAAGGTACCTAAACTAATTCTAAGCAAGCTGAGAACTGAGGCAAACCAGCCAGGGCAGTCAGCCTCGCTGCACCCCTCCACGCTGTACTACAGGACGCAGCACCGATAAGCCCTCGCAGAAGAGCGCTTCAAATGTCCACACAAACCTTTGCCTTCAGCCAAGTTCGTTTCTCTCAGCTATCATTACCTTTAATCTCCAGAACAGGGTATCCATGCCAGCACCGAGATTAACAATTTGACAGTTGCATTCTGTCTTCTTTAGAAAAGCTTTAATCAGATAACTGACTCCATGAACACGAGCATAATAGCCTGTTAACAAAAAAAAAGTTTGTTTTTAATTATTATTTTAATATAATACTTGATGTTTAACACTCATTAAGATTTTTAGGTAGTCTATTTAAAAAATTGTGTTTCTTAGGAAGAATAATGCACTCTTTTTAAGATACCTAAGGGGTTTTTTTATTACTAACAAAACCTGATGCACTGATAAAACAGGATTCCTTGGGTAAATAAAAGTTTTAGTCAAGTTTCACCTCAAACTGAGCAGAATAATTCTAGCTGGAGTGCACACTTTTGCAGAGACCAGAGCTGACATACCCTGCTGTCTTGGGTCAAATCAACATTCTTGACTGCTTTGTAGAGAGTACTGCACACTGAGACACAGAGACATTCCATTCAGAATACAGAAAGCAAAGGATAAGAGTTTTGATTTAAAGAATAATATTTAAAAGATCAGATAGAGTATGGAATTATTAGCGTGAAGAAAACTTGTCTCATTCTTTTACGTATTTCCTGCACTCCATAATACCCAGTATATGGAGGTTTTGTCAGGTGCTCTTCAAGACCAGTTAAGAACGCGTTTGCACTGTCTTCATTCAAGTTCACATGCCAACTTGCCTCTGTTGATTTCAGGTGCTTTTCTCTCTTTGGCTTGTCTCACAAAATACTGGATGTAAGGGTCCTTCCAGTAGCCAACACTCACAGCAAACCTGTCCAGCGGAAGGAAAAAAAAATAACAGCGTTATGAAATAAGGCCACCAAGATTTACCCTGTAAGACACACAAGCTGAAAAGGTCACTCTCAGACCTGGGCGTGTACACGCAAAGTTTAAAAACCCTGTTGAATGTGCGAAACTATTTCAATTAAGAAGCTATAGAAAGTCTAGTAAAAAACATTGGCTCTTGCCATATTAAACAAGGATCTTTTTAACGGCCTCTGCACTATTTGTTGAACTTCTGCAAGCGAAGACCCTAATCTCAAATATTTCCTCCTCGAGGACCCAGCAAACAGAGGAATTGCCTTGGCTAAAGCTCCTCAGACTGCCCACAAAGCGTGCCTTACTTCTATACGTCATTACGCTATGAGCTGTTTGCACTTATTCCAGTGCTTCTACGTATCGCTTTAACGCAGACAACAGCGCTATTCTATTCCAACAGAACTCACTAGTTTTACAACTGATTTGAAAAGGTAAACTCTCAAAACCAAACTCAACCGCCTGATGGTTTGCTGCTACACCAATAACAAAGGAGAGAACAAAAAGCCAGCAATAACAGAAGTTAAATCCACGCCATGCACAACAGGGCAACAAAACTCATCGCCCTCCCAGCACCCACCCTCCAGAGGAGGAGAAGTAAAGAATTCTAAAACATATCAAGATGTTTTCTCCGGAGATACCGAACAGCACTGAAATTTCTGATCCCCACTATTAGACAGCATAATTCTAGCTATCCCTGTACGCTGGTCTGTAAACAAACCCTAAGCTGAAAATCGGGCAGGTGTTTAGTAACAGGACCGGGAAAGTTTATGGCAACGCTGAGGGCTAAAGCTGCCGGCCCAAGGGAAAAGCGCCGTCAGAGCAAACCCCCGCCCGTTCAAAGGGGAGCTCTGACCGCGTTTCGGAGCTTATTTTCCCCTGTACAGCCTAGCTTGCTACACGGCCGTACAGCTTTGTCCGTGTTGCCCGGGCCAACCGGCCCCCGCAGCCGCTCGGGCCCCGGGTTACGCTCTCGGCCTCGGTGCAGACAAAGGACACCGGCACCGCCGGGCGCAGCGGCACCCGGGAGAAGAGGGGGCTCTTCCCCCTCTCCTCCGGCCCGGCTTCCCGGGGGCCGAGCCGTGCTTCGCCACCTCCCCGCCCGCTCT